TGAATGGTGTGTCTCTCGCAGAGAAGACCCCCGTAATTTGCCAGATCAGCGTTGTGCTTTCTTTACGCCGAGAGAAGCTGGAGAGCAGGCTGTCGCCATCCACACTCAAGGTTACGTGGCTGCCATCTCCGCTCTCATGACGCGGTGGCTGGCAGCACCGTGGGAACGCATAACCTCATCATCCGGTTCCTCAGGGGCACTAAGCGAATTAATCCACCCCGCCCCCTCTCATGCCCTCTTAGGATCTCGCCCTCGCTACCAGATCCCTTCGATCCTTGACTTAGTATCTTTCTGTCCCTGAAGACAGCTCTGCTGGTCGCGTTGATATCGATTAGAGGGTCGGGGACCTGGAGGCATTTTTCGGTCAGTGACTCGTGCCTGTAATTGGGCTGGCTTTCTCTCACGTCCTTAGACCCCGCCCGCGATATGTGCCCAATGTTCCTACCACTCCGTTTTAATACGAGGTAGTGAGCCTGCAATCGCTGCCCTCGGAGGCAGACCCAGCCCTTCTTTATTGTCCAGTTCGCGTTTTGCGTATTATCCGGACCGCACTCAGAGTTTAGATCATCTGAGCAGCTCTTCGTCTGTTATGGCGGTCGGCAGCAGGGAAGTGCCGTACCGAAATAAGTTCCCACTAGATTGTGGATGCCTTTCTTTCGCTATCAGAGCCGAGGTGAGCCGCGTCCCCCGAGAGTGCGTGCGCACTCCACTTGGAGCTTCGCATCCTCTCGAGCGCGCGCACGCGGCGCCTCTCTAACAGACATCTGTAGAGCTGTGGGCTGGGTGACACCCAACACATTTTCAAAGTTTTACAATCTGCGAGTGGAGCCGGTTTCCTCAAGGGTATTAGGTAACCCTTGGTGATTGAGGAAACAATTCGGTAGGGTGTTGAAACACGCTTGCTGCGCCATTCTCCCTAACACGGAGGTACGTGCGCCTTTTTATCTGTCAGTAAAGTTCCCCGTCAGGTGAGCCCTGCAGATTCCTCCATGGCCCCCAGCACTGACTCAGCAGAGGAGTCACTTGCTGGCCCACTACGTTGTAGGTCTGCCCGCTGGTCAGCCCGCGTTTTGGGTAAAGGTGCCTGCTATGCGTGATCCCCACTAGGCGATCCCATATGCTTATTCCGCCACGGTTAAGTCCCCCCCCCCACCCCCCCCCCTGGGCGGACCCGTGTCTTCCCTCTCCGCTAACCACTCTTTTGCTATGCGTACTCCCCCTTTTAGGGCTAGTCCATATGTAATTCTGCCATCTATCCCCCCTTGGGTGACGAATGGCCTCCGCAGCGTCCTCCCTATCGGGATTGCACGCTTCCCAACGTACTGTCGTATTTTCCTAGAATTATCTAGATGCTCACGACTTCCTAAAAAATATATCTAAATCCGTAAGACTTCTGTTGAAGTAGGATAAATTAGGGCCAGGGACACGTTGGAGGACCGCGCCTCCCATGATGTGGGTGCGTCACGCTTGCTTGACAATCCCCTCATCGGGGGCGTTGGTAAGGTGCAGTCATTATGGCGCTTTCCATACTTCTCCCATTTCGTGGATTTCAATCAATCCACTCTATGGCACTGAAGTTCCCCAACCGAAGGGGAACGTTCGAGGTTACAGAAGTAACCCTTCGTTCCCCGAGGAGGGGAACGGAAGTGCCATACTCCGTCGCCATAATGACTGTCCCTTAGCTGTTTGAAATTCTCTTCAGCTTAAAAGGATGGCGTTTGCTCGCTCCAGGTGTGCTTATATGCTGGGAATATTGGCAATGAGGTACACCTGTGCAAGCTTACGCTGCCAATTCATTGCTTTCATTGGCCCGTTCAATACTCTTTCAGACAAGCGGCTTCTGAACCGAATCCTCCCATTTCGTGGATTTCAATCAATCCACTCTATGGCACTTCCGTTCCCCTCCTTGAGGAACGAAGGGTTACTTCTGTAACCTTGAACGTTTCTTTGCACATTAGTTAACAGATTACACAAGTTAATTACTAGTTCACTAAAATCACACAAAACAACCAATTAATCACACAAGACTGCATAAATCTGCATTTACATGTGTAACGAAGCCATCATAACTCATTTAACTTAATTTTAAGTGTTTATACAAACTATATTTCTTTTACCTGCAGAGAAGTAAAGAAACACATCAGTACGAGGTCTTTAATGAACTCTAATCCGAGCTGCCCTGTTTAACGTCTTTTATGCATGTGCTGTACTGGATATACAAAAAATAACTTTGGGATTAGCCCAACAATACATTATAGTTAATGAATTCACAATAAATCCATTTATTCAGCAAAATTTTTGTAGGGGGGTCTCTTTTTTATTATTTATATATATGCACACATTGCATATTTATTGACCCTTTACATGTACATCACTCCAACATTATGTGTTACTAACAGTTGTAAACTTTTTATTGATATTTTTTAAATTTTTAAATCTGCAAATTTTCTCCCTGTTATGTAATGTAATGTCTTAAAGGATCTGAAAGGGATGTGTAAATGGTTTTTACTGATTCGAGATGCAGTAAAATCATTAGTCACTGCTTTGTAATAAACCCATAAATGTTAGTAACACATCAGTTATAATGTTGGGTTAGTGGTATAAGTAGGGTTGTGCCGATAGACGATAGTATTGTGTATCGACGATATCGTCGAAAGCTGAAACTTATGACGATTTTAAAGACAACATTTAGCTTGCTTCGCACTAATATTACATGTTTTAATTGCATTATTGAATACTATGAGTAGTATTGTTATTTTTAATCATCATCATTAATAATAAATTAACTATGAATAATATGAATGCTTCAGCTGTTTACATCAACATTACCTGACTGACACTTTTGGACAAAAATAAATTATTTTGATTGCTCTCTTGGGTTCTCTCTGTCTCAGCAGCAGCAGTTGAAGCGCAAGCTGCAAGTGAGGGTTAGAATTATTATCCAAGATCAAACGTTATGCAAATGCAATAGGTTAATAAATGAGTTTAAAAGTCAGCCGAAAGGTAATTGAATATGCTTAGATATTTGTTTAATTATAATGATAATAATAATATTATAATAATTGCCATGCCCCCATGCGATAGTGTCGTGTATCGGCAATCTCACAGGGGGGCAATATGTTGATCTGAAAATTTCGTATATAGCCCAAAACTAGTGTTAAGTCAGCATAGAGTTTATAAATGTAACACGTTGAAGTAGTATACATTTTACAGTAAGGTTCCTATATCCCTCAACTGATGCTTTGCTAGGTATCAGTCATATTAGAAAATATTCTTCAAACAAGAAAACATGCAAGTTGAAGATTGTGAAGTGTTGAGCCTGAGCTATTGTTCATTATATGATCACGTTAACTGCATAAAGTAACACATGTATAAGTTTACGTTAACAGCGATTTAGTATTATGGAATAAATGTGTTTTTTATTGTTTAGTCATGTCATTTAATCAAAGAACAAATAAATTAGTCTATGTGAAAGTAAACATTAGATGTTAATGTAAAGAGATACAACAATGAGAAACTTTTTTAACTGATGCGTATGTTTATTTAACATTAATATTACTGTAACATTTATTAACGCTTAACATATGTGTTGTTTACGGTAAATTCGTGTTAATGTATTAATTGACATTATCTAATGCAATCTTCCTGTAAATGTTACCCTATTTAATCTCATGAATAAGTTAATTTACTGTCAACAAACTAGCGGTCGCTAAACTGTTCATCTCAAAACACACGGTAGCATCTGTCTCACAGAGAGCAAAATCGTGCCCGCATGTGGCTGAGTGCTGTCTGATTGCGCATGTCCGGCTGAGATTGCATCACTCTGAATGTGCATGTCTGGTCGAGATTGCACCAGTCTGAGACTGCCTCCCATAAAAAGCCAATAGATAAAAAGTATGTTAACACGGACCACTCTATCTGTTTATGTGTCTGTGTTCATTGCTGATTTATGCAGCACAAGGAAATATTGGCACAGAGACAGGCTGCTGAAGCTGCTGCAGTTGCTGTGCCAGGAACTGTACAGACAATGCAGTGCCAGGTGCAAGAGACCTGCAATAGGAATTGCAGCAGGTTTACTTGTGCAACACGTCAGAAATTCACCTGTGCCAAATGCAGGGAAGATGGACACTGAGTCTGCAAACACGGAAAAGTTTGAAATACTTTTAAAAATATAACCGACTTGTGTATCCATATATTGTGAATGTGTGTCTTTTGTATAAATATGGCAGGCATATCTGAACAAACACAAAGGTTCAGCCTGCCCTCGTTTAAGCTAAAAAATCCAAATGTGCCAGGCTTCACAGGTAATGAGTGTGTTTGCACAACAAAAGCAGGTGAACAATGGAGCTGAAGGCCTGTGCAAATCTCAGCAGGGGCGCTAGTAGGTGTTACAGTAGGTCCAGGGAGTTTATGCAAATTTGCGCATGTTTAGTAACGTTTAGTAAGTAGTAATCTAGTCTTAATAAGCCATTCATATATCCCTTCCACAATTTACAGAAAACTCTGAATTAGAATAAAAGTAACATCCCTTTTTTTAAATCTAAAATAAAAATGATGTCCAACCAACACAAAATATATTTTTTTCAAGCTTACTGGCTTCCAGAGGTTGAGAAAATTGACATGTTAAATGGGGAGTATTTATCAACTAAAATTACAGGCTAATAAAAAACTTGGAGCATATAATGTTTAACCATAATATAAAATTTACATAAAAGGTCATTTGTGTGCTTAAAGTCCATACTGACCATTAGTGAGACTAATGCTGTCGATTAATAAACCTGAAACACATGTGGTTGTTTTTCAAGCTGCATCGGCCAGCCCACTGGTTGTTCTCCAAATGCCCTTATGCTATTTTCATGCTACACGCAATAGTGATATGGCATCTGTAGTGTCTCAAGTCAGACAAAATTTTCAACCAGAATGTACTACTTCAAGAAATAATTCACATAATTCAATTGCTTTCTACAGCATTGCATGAAGTTGAACACACAGACACAAGCTTGCAACACATGCTTGTAGAGAATATTTATTATAATCACAGTAACATTTCATTTTATTTTGTATTAATGTTGTATAACCCCTTCAAATGTAATATTATGACCAAAAAGAAAACAAATCATACAGTCAGTATCGATACATGAGATACCATACTTGGTACAAAATCAGTAATAATTACAAAAATATAACATTTACCACAGAACATCAATGTTAGGTGATTAATACTGAAATATGTGATTCATCTGCTAAGGCAATTTATACAAACACACATCTATGGGATAAATTAAGGGACCAGTTTAACATTGTTTGCCTGGATTTACAGGTGTTATCAGGTAATCGTATAATTATTTTATAATAATATAATTTCAAATGAAACTATGCTTTGATACTTAAACAAATACCTAAGTTTTTATCTTTCTGCTAATATAAAGTATTTCTATAGCAAAACTGGCCCACCTCCTGGTACAGTATGACTTTAAAAAAAAGTGTTTTAAGCACATAAGCCTTGCTGAGAGTTTGGATGACTAAAATTGTTTGTGCACACAGCATAACTAATCAATATGCAGGATTGATGAATCACTTTTAGTGGGTACAGTCCCTTACCATTTTTCCTATCCAGTTAATGTTTGGTTAGATAAATCTATAAATCATTCTTTCAGAACTTTGCGTGTCTTTCCAAACTAATTTAGCATATCATGGTGAAAAGGGGTGTTGTTTTTATGTGTGTGTGTTAAAAACAATCTTTAATAACTTTGTGGTTGAAAAATTGACCCTTCGCTGGTAATCTGGCCAATCATAATGCCGATATTGAACTAATTTGTTCTGTTATTGGATTAGGACAGCCTGCATAATTTTAGTTTATGGGTATGTGATGTGACAAGAACCAGTAAACTACCTGAGGACCCAGAAGCTGACAGGCGAGATGAGCTAACTTAACCTGCATAAATACCCAGATAAACAATGAATTCATCTTTACTGTCTCCTATATATTCATAGATGCATTATTGATTTATTTGAGATGTCACCGTTTGCTTTTGTTTGTTATTTATGTTAGTGAATTAATCTGTAACATTTTATTTGTATTCAAATGATCCCAACTTCCCATTATTTTACTTGAAGGCTATAGAGTTGAGATTAAGTAAGTACACAATACTAACCTTAAAATTCACAATAGCACATTATACGTGGCATAGACAACATCTGAAAAGTCAGTATATACTATATACTGAGTTATTATGTATAAAACAAGGTACAAGAGAATGACACATTTAATGATGAACAGATTTCAGTCTCACTTCTTTCAGAATTATTTTCTTTTACCTTTTCATATTACATCAATTGTTTAGCTAGCCAAACTTATTGATCACAGCCAGTGTTATCTTATGTGTGTTGATTGTGAATGTGCCAGGCCTTCTCAGACTGCTGAGCTGGATAGTTTGACCCACCCCACTTCAGTATAGGCCCCTGTGATATGCCAGTACAATGCTGCCATCAGTTTGGACCAGGAAGTCTGTACCTCTGGTGTAAAGCACTCTCCAAACTCCTCTGCAAGTATCTCCAGAATAACCCCACTTAAGATCTGTTGTCAAAAGAAAAAAATTAATTGTTAAAACAGAGCTTAAACAGATTAATGTTGGTTTAGTAAATATGCAGCAGCTTTTTCATGGTTTACAGTGACTATTGGTAAATAAATACAAAGGTGTTAACTAATGAGCAAAATGTATGTTAATGTTTTTATTTATTAGTATGGGCGAAATATATCTTTATTGTCAATGAAGAAAAAATTGAAAAAAAATATGTTACTAAGGTGGCACCCTTGCAAATATATTCCAATATATACCCTTCATGTCGTAATATATGAACCTCAAGCACTCAAACAAATAATTGTTTGCAACTCATCCAAACTACTTATTTAAAAATGAACTGAAACAACACTATTCTTGAGTATTTTGGGGACAACTTAGCTGTTTTATATTCAGTTTGCTTCAGTCCATTACTTAATCGATTTTTGTTGGGGCAACATGAAGGAATTGTGTGCTCATGTGCAATGTGCTGCAAAAGACAGGTCACAAACATCAATCATCCATGCTTACATAGAAAACAGAAAATATTAGATTCTGTCTCATTTCATGCACATGTATTTCAGTCTGATTTCCATGAATACACACAGGATTGAACAGTTGTTGTCTTCTGTGCCCACTGTTATGGAATGGTAGGATTTTCAGTAAAAAAAAGATGCAGTTTTGAAGTTTACTGAATCTATGCACAATTATTGTTTTTATTTTCTGTTGTTTTAGGAGATGTTTGGGATCAATCTTTGAAAGTTTAATACACAGTCTCCTAATAAAATTTTATTTTTCATTATTCTATTTCATACGCTTGCATTAAAAGAGGCTGTTCAGTTCTGTAGTTGATCATGACAAAATACTACCTGTTGAAAATAAAGAAAACATGCACTGGAGAGAAAGATGCAGTAGGTGTCCATACTGTGGGATCACATATTCCAGTCAAATAACTGGTGGCCAAAATTCATTGATTGCACTTTCCACCAGCAAAAGCAGAAGGTGAAGGTTTAATTAGCGTTATGACACAGTTTTTGCTTAAATAATTGCAAGGAACACAACATTATGGGTTAAAAAAGTTAAAAAGAGGACAGATTATTGGTGTGTGTCTTGCTGACGCATCAGTGACCGAGACAGAAAGTCTTTGTGTTACGTCAAGAGCCACGTTATCCAGGGTAATGTTAGCATACAACCAAGAAGGACGAACCACATCCAACAGGAGTAACTGGATGAAAGAGAAAGCTGTCTGAAAGGGATGTCCAGGTGCTTATTTCCCGGACACAGGAGTATTGAACACATCACCAATTTTTTTCAGAAAACATATTTTCAATGATGCTGTTGACTTGAGTGTTTCACTACATGTTGGTAACAAACAAAGAAATCCTCATATGCAAAGAAAAACAAAAAAGTAGTTGGAAAGCAACCCTCTGCCCTTTGTCTGTCATGGGTCAGGTTTGATCAGGGTTTCTAGTAGGTAGTGAATGGGGAGCAGATAGGGTAGCATTAAAAGATATTTATTGTGGGTTGATTAGATGAGTGCTAGATTATGGTTGTGTGGTATATGGGTCAGCAGCAGAGACATCTCTTGGAAAATTGGACAAAATACAACATGAGGTATTAAGATTAAGTATAGGTGCAATTAAAACTACACCAATTGCACCACTACAAATTGAATTGGGGGAAATGTCTTTGGAAATGAGAAGAGTCCAACTGTCAGTAAGTTACTGGGTAAATTTGAAAGGGCAGTCAAGAACATCCAACACTAGAAACACTAAAACCTTGTTGGAAAAAAGAGGAAAATAAAAGTTTTGGGTGGACAGTGTTAAAAAAAGCAACAGAAATAAAAGTCAGTCATTTAAAATTAGTCCTACTGTACCTTTACCAGTAGTTAAACAATGGTTACTACCAGACGCAACAGTAGATTTTACACTATTAGAAAAGAGAGAAAAGGATGAGGAATGTAATTTGTTTTATGTACAAAAATATATTAATGAATTTTACAGTTATGTTAATATATATATAGATGCCTCTAAGAGCTTAAATAGACTAGGAGTGGCCTTTACAGTTCCTGAATTTGAAATATTGGTCGGGAAAAAGATTAGTGATGAAGTCATGGTATATACAAGAGAAATTATTGCATTTGTATTAGCAATACGATGGGTAGAGGAGATAAGGCCTTTGAAATCAATCATCTGTTCTGACTCAAGTACTTCACTGGCAAGTTTATGATATAGTAATTCAGAAAGTAGACCAGACATTTTATTAGAAATAATGCAAACATTGTATGGAATTCAAATGATAGGTATAACAGTAATATTTTTATGGCTACCTGCGCATATTGGTGTTCAAGGTAATGAAATTGCAGATAAGGAAGCAAACAAGCTGTTAAAAATAATGACATCAGTATAAATTTAAGTATAAGAGTGAAGTCAAGTGTATTATTAAGAAAATAATGAAGGAAAGGTGGCAAAAACAATGGGGTAATGAAAAAAAGGGCCGTTGTTTTTTTAAAATTCAAAAAAAAAAAGTTGGAAATTAGAAGTGTAGGAAAAAACAGGAGAGAAGAGGTAATAATATCTAGGATGAGATGTGGACACACAAAGTTAAATAGTACACTTTTTTAAAATGGGTAAACATAGTACAGGGCAATGTGAGTTTTGTGGACAAGAAGAGACGGTAGAACATGTTATATTATACTGCATGAAGTATAAAGATGAAAGGAGAGAACTTAGCAAGAATTTAGAACAGATAAAAGTTCAATTCAAATTAGATGACATTCTACAAAATAACTCAGGAAATAAATGTTTTACCTTTTTATTGCAATATCTTAAAAATTCTCATTTATGGGAGAGGATTTAATAGAAGAAAGCAGTAGGTGAGGGTTAAGTCATACTGATCCACACTTCATACCAGTTGGTGGCGGAAATACACCGTTTTGTTGTTTGTCAACCGCCATTAAATTGAGGAAGAAGAAGAGAGATCATCTGCTGTTGTTGTTTTGGCATATGGTCTGTTTGGTGGTGTTCGTTTGTGTTTGTAGATGTCACTGATGTTGACTTTGAGTGAGATTTGTTTGAGAGTTCTGATGTGTGTTTTCATTATCTCTAGTCCACTAATGCTCCATTCAAAAACCTTCTGTGACTTTTGACAAGGGAGATGTGGAACAACATAGTAAGTCACGTGACTTACATACTTTGCACGCAGGATTATTGATGTATAGACACACTAGCAAAGTGCGAAATTTGTGTGATAGAAAATTGTATATAAGTTCAGGGCGCCTTTGCGCTAAAGACTTTTTCTAATATTGTTTTTTTTTGTTATATTGGGGAGGAGATTAAGGGAATTTTTTTGTTATATTTATTTCTTTGATTTGCTAGCGCAAACTTTAGTTCCCTCTCCCATTTGTCTTGGTTCTTTTCAACATGATATTATTGTTTGTAAATATTGTAAATACTGTGGGAGCAATACATCTTGTGCAGTGCTAATTTGTTGTTTTGTGTTTTCTCTTGCCATCCTTCATCGTCAGTTTATACTTTGGTCATCTTTGTTACACCTTTTTATTCCCTAGACATATTGCTATTAAGGATTGTAACAGTCTCAAACAATGGTCTAATATGCATGCAAGGTCAAAAAACACTTTCATGGTCTTATAATATGCATTTATCCAAGCGACTCCCATATGAATTGTTCAGTAAATCATTTGTTCCCAAACCCCTCCTTAGCGCAAAGCCAATCTGCACTGATTGGACCGATGACAGCCTTTTGCGATTAGTCGATACTGACAGCCTTTAGCACAAGAAAGAGTGAAATGCCCAGCAGCTAATCAATTAAAGTAGTTAGAGTGCATACACACTTCATAGTGCCAGTGGGTGAATGTAAATACAGACGATGGACTTGAAAATACAGATGACTATTTTATTAAGCAAAAACTGGGGAGGAGATCGACAAGAGTCTCCTAGCCTCGACATACTCTACTTGCTGTTTTTTCACACACACACATTACCCTCCTCAGAAGAAGAACTGGGGAAGAGATCGACACAAGTCTCCTAGCCCCTCACACTCTACCTGCTCTTTACACACACACACACACACACTCACACACACACACAACGTGTATTGCTGGAAACATTTTAACCCCAATTAGGTCTTCACTTAAACAGAAAATGTCTACATGTTAGTTTTTCTGGCAAAGAATTTAATACATGAATAGAAAACAAAAGGGGAGAGAACCTACGCTGTTTTTTAAACATCTGACTTATGTTGTTACAAGTAGGCTTATATTTTTGTACTTCTTATAATTCTTACTATTTATATTATTACTGATAAGTAAAGTGCCATATAGGCTATTTGTGAAGTTCTTAAAAATGTAATGTTTAATTATTATTATACGGTTTCAAGCAGTTAGTTATTTAATATATAGCTACAATATTTATAAGCTGTATTGTGTTGTTTTATTAACGAAAGTTAAAAAATAAACATATATTTATACAGATGTTATTTTAAATAATATTTAATTAAGTTATAAATTATTCCTTAATTTTTACATAAAAGGTTAATTAACTTAGGTAGGCTACTTTATTTGTTAGTGGAATGGGGGGAACATTTTTGGCAGTGAATAATGTTCTCACCACTTAAAAAAATAAATAGATAAATAAAATAACTTGCAAAAAGGATGCAATAAAAATTGCAAGCTCTTAATTATTTTTCATAATCTTATTCGTACATGCCTATATTGCGCCGACAAGAACAAGCCCTAAAACAAAGTCTATAGAAAGGAGTTATTAATATGCTATTGATATTAGTTAATTTTAATGATCATAAACACAAACTGCGTTGTATGATAAACGCCTTTACAATGTAGTGTCTACGATCTTTTCTGAAGAACAGATAATCCATGTTATCACCTACTCCCCAGCCAGGTTTTCATCTCTTTTTTTTTTTTTTCTCGCTACAAACAATAAAGTATCATCGCCAGACCAGTGGATTGAATTATATTTAGCTACTCCTTATTTATTTC